ATTAAAAAGAAAAGATGTGGAACAGAGATCAGAAATCCAATTAATATTCTCATTTCCTATGTTTCCTTTGTGCAATCAATGCTACATTTATCATATTTTAATTTATGCGAAAGGCATCTGTATAAATGGACAATCTCACTTATGAAAATGAGCACAGAAAATGTATACTGGTTTATTTCTATTTTATGTATAAATAAACTCTTTGTCCTTTGAGAACAACTTATGTAAAATTTGTATGCTACAGCTCTTCTTCCACTAATAATGGGAGACTCCTAGAGTCTTTTTTGCTTTATCACCTTGCAAGTGTGCATATGCAAGAAGCAGTTATTTGGTCTGGGATATAAATAGCTGAAATGAATTTTCTATTTCCTCATTTTTTTCCTGATGAAATATATTTAAATGCCAGCTGTGTTATAACCTTCAAACAACTCAATACCAGTTCTTGAGATGCCATTAAATGTATGAGTACAAGTAAATATGAAGAACTTAAAATTTTGTTCTAATTGCCTTTAGCTTTTTTTTTTTTTTTAGTTGTAGATGAACACGACACCTCTATTATGTATTTATTTATTATTTTTTATGTGGTGCTGAGGATTGAACCCAGGGCCTCATGCTTGGGAGGCAAGTACTGTACTGAGCTGAGCTACAACCCCAGCTTTTTAAAATAAATAACCATTTAACAATTAACTTCTTATTCTAAAAAAAATTATAAAAAGTAGAGGATGAAGCTGATTGCTCAAAAAGTTCTCCTTCATCCAGGAAAAGGAGATAGAGAGCCTAAGAAAATTCCATAGAACAATAATATCATATTTATGGAGTGTCGAAAATATTTTACACTTATATTTCACTAAGAATTCCGAGCTGCCCTATTCATAATTTTTGCAATTACAGATGTGTTCACACAATATTATAATTAATTTTTAGAGTGAATAATTTCTTTCTACTTTCTAATAGTCTCAGTCTCTTGTACAATATTTTTGTTCTTAAGACTAAGCCTGTGTAAGGTAAACATTAGGGATTTGCTGGTTGGTTGAGTGAGTAATTGGTTTGTGTAATCACTGGAAGGGAACTGGGGATTAAAATATTAATAACTTGACCAACACGCAACATTAAGCCATAAAGTCGGGTCTTAAATATTTGTGTTGTATCTCCAAAAAGTCTCTCCACATTTAGCTTTTTGTTTCCTCTATAACTTTTGCATATGATGGAAAGGAGTCTTGTCTGAAAACTACATTTATGATAAACAGATTCCTTTCTCTACTTCCAGGAAAAACCAGTGGCATAGACTAAACCTGGATGCCAAGATGCCTTACCAAACAAAAACATGGTTTCTACTGACTCTCATGTAAATACAATTCAAATAATAGTTTCAAAACATAATAAAATTATTTATATATGCATATATATAATTATGCATTTATTTAATGTTTGCACAGCTTCTTTTGTATTTTCATGATTTTTTATATATTCTAAGCTGTCATATTTCTAGTATTAACTCTTCCAGGAAATTAGCACTTAACAAATCTGTGCATTAGTAAAATTATAACATTTTAGTGCTTAAGGTACATTCAATTTTCTCAATTTAAGTTTCTTAGAGACTATCCCTCCCTACTTTGTTCTCTGCATGTCCTCAAAGTTATGTTTTTAATATATCTTAACAGGTTTCCATAGCTTACTGATTCATTCTCACTCTATATGAATATTAAAAAGAAAATGTCTTAGGTTAAAAATGAACAAAATGGCATGTATATATTTACTCTCTTATACACAAGTATTTAAATCCATTTGTTTCAAAATTCCAACTACATAAATTTACAAAGCCATACACACATAATTGATGAGAAATATGCTAACTTATCACTAAAGCTCAGTGTAAAATTAAATTAATATGCATTTTTTTCAACATTCTGAATAAGACAGAATTTATAACATTCCACTTCTTTTTTTTTTAATTTGTGGAGAATGATCAAAACAGAAAGAAGATTGGTTACAGTTGTTTAGAATTTTACTTACATGTATATACAGATTACAATAAGAATCCAAATAAGATCCACAAGAAAGTAGGTTACTAAAGGCTTCCAGCCATAATTTTAATAAAAATATAAAAGTAACATTTTTTTTTGTGATAATTATCATTTTATATCTCAAAAATAATTCAGGAATATACATGTATTACATATAAAATAAATCAAATATATTGAGTAAATTAGCATAGAGATTTAAATGTTCCTAGGGACCAACATTCCAGAACTTAACTTCAATTTGTCCTATTATTTGATTGCGATTGCCTGCAAAATCAATTTTTTTTTTTACAATATCTGTTTTCCTTTGAAAACATATAATATTTCTTAGATTTATTCCTCTGAAAAGAGTATCAACAGTTTTTATATTGACATTAAGGCCAAACAGCATTAAATGGTTAGGAAAACTTTCTGAATTTAGTTAAAACATTTTAAGGGAACAGTGCAGTAAAATCATTCATCAGTTTGGGTAAATTAAATTAAAGTACCCATATCTTTTTTTTTTTTTTTTTTTTCTTGCAGTCCTGGGGCTTGAACCCAAGGTCTCATACATGTCAGTCAAGGAAAATGCCACTGAGACACATTCCATTCCCACATTTTCATTTAAAATTATAACTATCTAAAATTTGACCTATATGTGACTAATACAATTTAAAAAAAAAAAATACATTTTCATTTGAAAGAGTATTAACTATTTCTACAACATTTCCTGCCCCCGGGCCACATCCCCAGCATTTTTTATTTTGTATTTTGAGATAGGGTCTCCCTAAGTTGCTTAGGGCCTTGCTAAATTTTATTTCCACAAGTTTTAAACAACAGTTTGAATATATGATTCATAGTAAGTTTTTTAAACATTCACTGTTCCAGGCCGTACAATTGCATCATTCAAAACAACTTGTAATTGTCCCCTGAAACCTCATATATTATAATTCATCTAAAAATTTTAGATGGTAGTTGTGAGTTCTTACTCACATCATACACTGTGATATAAAAAAAATAAATTAGAAAATAAAATAGAAAATTATCTATTTCACTAAATTATTTAATAGAATATTGGTAAAAATCTCAGAATTCAAGCAATAATAACCAGGGTAGATATGCTTGTTATACTTTTTATACTAAACAATTTAAATTCTCCATTTTCAAATGCTGAATTATTCTATAGCTTGAGTCTTAATTACCCAAACATTTAATTACTGATTCTTTTTTTAATTATTATTATTTTTGGTACTAGGGATTGAAAGGGGATGCTGGGGAGGATTTTATTACTGAGCTGCATTCCCAACTATTTTTATTTTTTATTTTTTTTTTTATTATTTTATTTTGAGACAAGATCTTACTATGTTGCTTGAAGCCTCACTAAAGTACTGAGTCTACCCCTGAACTTACAATCCTCCTGCCTTTCACCTCTTAAACTACTGGATTATAGGCATGTGCCACCTTGTTCAGCTTGCTCAGTTATTCTTAAAGTAATACCATTACCCAAAAATATTTTAAATATATGCTTAACAGAGACTTTGCTTTAAATAAAATAATAATAAGTAGTTCTGTATCAATCAGTTCTTACCTTTATAATCGAGATATGTCATAAAATTTAATTTATTTATATTATGATAGTTGAAAGAATTCTTTAAAAATCTGAAACCATTTTTAAATTTTTCCTGAATATATAAGAATATTATTTATCCATTTCATTATACCAAGACATTTGAAACAATGTACTAAATGTAACATTATAACATAATAAACATAGCATCTACAATTCTCAAAATTATTTTGAAGAATATGCTTATTATAGTATATCTTTAAAAACACAAATGTGGCTACCTACATACAAACATATGCATAGAACTATATCTAAATTATTTAGACCTTTAAATACACAATTTTAATATTCAGTGTTTAAACATTTGCTGGGGACCAAAAATGTCTGTAACATTTTTTTATTTGTGTTTTCTTGAGAGAGACATTTTAAAAGCACACAGTGATGTAAAGTACCACTTAGCTAGGAATGAATCTTCTGATAATCAGCACTAGCATCTTAATAATGATTGGGTTTTATGTGAAATAATTCAGAAAGAAAAAAAATTGAATTAAATAAATGTGATAGTAATATCACGATATAGTAATGTAATACATCCCATTATAGATGAAAAATTATTTGCAACAGTTATGATTTTAGTATTAAGCAAACAATGTGTCTAAAACAACAATGTCTGTTTACATGGAAGTGTATCTTAGAGTACATCTGTAAGCTTGGAAATTTTCTATAATCCCCATATATATCATCTGTGACTGCCAGGAGTTTCATAAGAAGTATGTACTAGAATCACAAAGTGCTACCATTAAATATTCTGAGTTTTATTAAATAAATTTAAAATATATTCTACTAACTGCAGCAGAGATTATACTTAATCACATGAAGTTGAATTTTTCATCATTTTTCATGCAGAAATATTTTCAAGTGAACATTTCCTCCATTGCTAATAACTGAGTATTCCAATTATAAATGGCAGCATAAATTGCTAGAACCTATAATAAATAATTTTAAAGGATCAATAATGATACAGGCAATTGGCTATATTTATGCTGACATAGCAAAACAGACTTTTTTCAAAACAAAGTATAGAGTGCATTCTATGCAGGCCAGAAAACAATCTATTAAAGAACATATTTGTTCTGTATTTGACAAAGTAAAGCAAAACAAAACAAAACAACAACAACAAAAAATCTCATGAAGAGAAACCTATTAGGTCTATACATTCTGCAGTATCTTTGGAAGTAACATATTTTGTTTTGTCAGAGAAGAAAACAATATTTCTCAGCATATGGATATACAGTAAGTCCCTGATGTATAATAGATAAGTAGTCAAGTGCATCTAGTTCCAGAATTAATATAATCTAAGTTAGCTAAAGTTCTGAGATTCTGAAATGCTTGGTTTATTAATACATAAGACTATGTAATACATTTAAACTTACCCTTCCAATCTTACATCTGGCAGACTTCTATTAAGGGCAATCAAATCACTGGCCATAAGGTTAAACTGATTGATTTTGAACAGCTCTTTCATTTTCTCCTGGTCATCTTTAGGAATCAGCACAGCCTTTCCCATTTCTCCTGGGCCTTCTTGGTTTCTTGAAATAACAGCTGTAAGACATACACAGGTACAAACATACATACAAACACAAGATAATGAATGGAATGGAGAAACTCATGTGTTGGATTAAATTCTGATGTGTATTAATTACAAACTGGTTCTATAATGTAATCATCCAGTCGTATTTATAAACCATACACCACACAAAAGAAACAGCCTATTTTAATTCATTAGCTTAATGTTGCATGTTGTCTTTCAAGTGTAAACATATTAGACTAATTATGAATTATTAAGACAATAGTAAAGCAATACAAAACACCTTATCTTAAAACTTCTTAGTCATATTTTTAATACACTTATTATAAAGAGATGAAGTTGAACACTAGGGAGATCGTATTGTTCAAAATAAAAGATAACTTTTGAAAATACACCAACTTCAATTTATTTTCACATCAAATAAAATGCTTTCATATCTGAACATATCTGCTGTCATTACATCTTCATAAAGGCCATCAGCTTAATAGTTTTTTCCTCCCATAGCAATTTGATTTATTCTCAAATCACTTTGAAATGTATAAAAGAAGTTTCAGAGTGGTAACACATAATTTTAAATGTCAAGGTAGATAGGTGCTTCATGACTTGAAATTCACAACAATTTTCTGAACTTGGCTGCTTATTAGGAGAACTCAGTATTCGATCTTCAGGCTAACATTCTTGCTATTTCTCCCAAGTTATCACTAAAGTTCTTAACTGCTCTAAAATGCATGTTTAAATGTGTATATGTACGTGCACACGTCTATATACATGTTAACATATAATAATAAGCCAAGTTCCAGCTGATCCTAATGTACCTTTTAACTTACTAATCATAACAATATTAAGTTAGGTTAAGGTGAAAGGGATACAATTCTATTCTTGACTTTTTCAATGTTTTCCTATATTTTAGTTCCCATACATTAGTCTAACTGAATTTAATTTGTACATAAATTAATGTGAAAATATTTTAACATAGCTTACCTCAAAATGCTATAAATATAATTAAGGGATATTATGCATGGGAAAATTTTTTATAAAGTATAATATCTCATAAAAATATAAAGTCTAAAATGATATAAGAATATGGTAAAAACTAGGATAGAACACCATTAGCAAACTTTCTACTCTCTTGACGTTCATAGTTATAAAAAAACAACAATGTTATTACTAGTATTAATCCAATATTGACTATCCAGATGGTTATTCTTTATGAAAAGTTACCCCAGTTTTGGATTAGCATGAGTCAAACAAAATGAAAGAGAATAAATACTTCTAAGGACTTTTAGACATTGGTACCAGGAGGATGATTAGCCTTAAAATTCTCTCATACATAGAAAAAGAAGTGGGAGATTTTAAATGGAAAAATATAGGTATACAACTTCAAATTATTTTAAAAATTGCCATTTGGTAAACTTGGCGTTTTTACTTTGCTAGAGTTTCCCCAAAGTTCCATGTGATAAGGGTTTATACTTCTCAATGTGGCATTATAGGTAGAAGGTGGAAACTTGAAGAGGTGGAGCCTAGTGAAAGAGCTTTAGGTAATTGTGAGACTACAGTCCCTTCATTTTTCTTTCACTTCCAAGCCATGACATAGCAGTATTGCTCTAACACACATTCCCACCATGATTTGCTAACACAGGCCCAATATACTGGGACCAACTGATCATGGACTGAAATCTCCAAAAGTATAGGCCAAAATAAACTCTTTCCTATATAACTGGATTATCTCAGATATTTGTCATAGTGACTAAAAGGTGACTAACATAATCTAAAGAAAGTTTGCAGAGATTTATCATCCATCTTAAGAAACAAAATTAGAAATGAGGGCTGAAATTTTATGAGAAAGCATATTTTGATCATTTTAAGAAACTAAATTCTAATGGTAATAATTTATCTTGGGAATTAGTAAATTTCAGCATCCCTAACTTCAGCTGGAGTTGTTAGAATTGAATTTGAGTAAATCTGTGTTCTTGGTGAGATGTTGCATTAGGTGTTCATCACTGTGACAAAATACCTGAAAAGAACAACTTAGAGGAGGAAAATTTTATTTTGACTCATAGTTTCAGAAGTTCAGACCATGGTCACTCAACTCCATTGTTCTGGGCCCCAGATGAGGAAAGATGCTCAGTTCCTGATATCTTAGAAGAAAAAAGAGAAAGCAAGGTACCCAGTGACAAAATATAAACCCAAAAGGCATGGCCCCAGTGACCTTTCCTCTAGTCAACCATATCCGCCAACATTTATTACTGGTACAGTAGTCCTTCTCAATTATTAATCCAACAAATGGATTAATTCAGTGATTAAGTTACATATATCATAATCTAATCATGATCTTTTGAGGGATACCTCATAATCATAAGATGTTTGCATGAAGTTATATTCCATTTCTCATATTTTTAAAATTATTATTATTATTATTATTATTATTATTATTATTATTATTATTTTGATTCCACAGAAAGTGTTAAAAAATGTCTGTTGATTCCTCAGGAGTCCTTCTGATTTTGTAAGAAAAACATAATCAGACTATGATACTTCCTATTGACTACAAATATTCAATTTATATGTTTTTTACATATTTTGGAGTATTACCTTGAAGCTATAAAAAGGATGATTTTCTCATAGAAAAGTTTTGCTTTTATTCTGAAACACTAAGGAACTGTTAAAGAATTTGGTATAGAATATTTTAATAATTTTTATAAATTAAGAAAGCAGTTTCTAAGTCATGGTTATTTATGATGCTTTGTAAAGGAGAAAGGTTTCCTTTTGCCCTCTTAGGTTTTGAGAGTAACCTAAAAATTAAACAGACAGGACAGACTTTAACAGAAATATCACACAAATTTCTTGTCACTTGTACACAGGAGTCTTCAGAAGGAAAATGAAGTCTGGAATAAGTTGTTAGGCCCAAAAGCTTATAAACCTTTTTACACAAGAAAAATAGAGGGTGACAAGAAAAAGAGACTTGGGATAGGGTCCAAAAAATTGTGGGTCAATAACTAGAAAATACATGGGGGTATCAACTGAAAGATGAGTTCTTTTAGTGAGCTTGTTTTACACAGATCCATTCTAGTATTGACACCCAGTTTGGGATAGAAAGAATGTTCTCCTCCTGGTACAGCAGGGAGGGCTTATTTCTTATGAGAAATTTTATAGCCTTCTTTCAGGTAGAAGAGGGAAGGCAGGCCAGAGAGAGCTTCCTGCATGTGCTATTTCTTGAGTGCCTGCAGCACAAAATAATCAATATGCCAAAATAGCATATTTAGAGGTGGCATATTCTGAACCTCTTCACCTTCTATAACTCTGACAAAAGGATATTCTGTTACCGAGAAAGGCACCATGACCAACATAGTGCTCCCAAAGCCAGGAAGTAAATAGTGTTAAAATGTTTCTCTATTTAAGGAAGAGAAAACTCAACTACAATAAATTAGGGCAGGGATACAGATGTTTTTGGGTTTTGTCACATATTCGAAGGAGTAACAATTTTATTTTAACTTTATGCAGATTGGAGTTTTGTCAGTGGTGGTAGGAGTAACAGAATCATGTTGCAATACAAAATGAATAAAATTAAAATTGTCTTAAATAGTATACCTACAACTAGTTGCAAACATGTGTAGTCATCCTCCTTAATCATGTAACAGCTTAGTGCATATCAGGTTTTTTATCTCCTCCAGAGTTAAATACATTTTTCTATAATGACCTATAATAAATGTATATTTAAAATCTTTTTTTTTTCTTTTGTGTGAACAAATCTATTGGTATTTTCACCTCCCTTGAGAAAAAAAAATACTAAATAATCATAGTGTGGAATCAGTCTTTTTCCTTTTCTGGATCTTACCTGGAGGAATGCATCTTGCATTCAGAAAACAAAGGTTTTGTTGCTGTTGTTGTTTGGTAGGTTTTGTTTTGTTTTGTTTTTTAAATCCTTTAAATAGCATAAATAGGAAGTAGGAAAGAATAAGCAATTCGGCTTTGTGGTCTATCTCAGATTTGAGGCATCTTGTTAAATAACAACTCCTATTTTTCTTTACCTGTTGATTTTCTTTCCTCTATATAGCTTAAAAGAAGAAAGAAAGAGAGAGAGAGAGAGAGAGAGAGAGAGAGAGAGAGAGAGAGAGAGAGAGAGAGAGAGAGAAGGGGAGGGGGGGAGGGAAGGGGAGGGAGGGAGGATGAGAGAGAAAGAGAGAGAGAAAGAGAAAGAGAATGAGAGAGAGAAAGAGAGAGAGAAAGAAAGAAAGCACAAACTATAAGAAAGGACCACTCACAGAATGCATTTCCCTATAGCCAAGCAAAGTGAAAATTAATTGTTAAAATTTTTTAAATTATTTACTATACCAGGCAACTATAATAGATGGCAACTAAATCTACATTCTAGTTTCTTTATTGCTGATGTGAATGTGGACAGAAATGTCCTGATTCCAAAGTTGGTTTAGACTAAAAGATGAGATTAATATATTAAGCCATAAATTATTTACTTTCTCATTATATGATAAAATCATCAAAAAAGAAAATTTGACTTAAAATGATATTATAAAGCAAGTAGAAATATAAGAGCCAAAGCATTTTATAGTATCATTTTCTTTAACATAGTACACACTTTAAAGACTTTAAGAATATATATTTCAATCTTAGAATTAACACTGTTAGAAGAGAATCATCAAAATATAAACATAGCAACTGCTTTTCTACCAAAACTCCCACTACATATTAATTGCATTATTTACTTATGCACACTGCATTATGAACATCTTCTTATTTGCAGAATAACCCCTTTAATGAGCACTATTTGAGAAAAGAAAAATGGACCATTCTAGACCCAGGAAAAAGAATGAAATTAAAGAATAAGTTGACTTTAAAGCAGTGATTTTATTCTGTTAAAGAATGCAGTGATTTATGACACACATCCATAAAAGTGTAACATGGAACCAAATTCTAAATGTTATTCCACATGTCATGCTTTCCAATTTTTTTTTTCAAATTGTATTCTCATCCTCAGATTAACTCACTTGTTAATTTC